TTTCTTCTACACATTCTGGCCACAATTTCCTCCTAGCAGAGTTCAAGGTCCTCTTAGTCATTCCTTCCCAAGCCTTACCTATAAAGTTTATGCAATTGAGGATACTAAAGTGATCTTTCCAAAACTCTCTTAGGGTCAATCGAGTGTCTGAGGTCACTTCAAAGCACTTTTGAAACATTGCTTTGGTGTACAGTTTTTTGAAATTTTAAATGACCTTCTGGCCCATGGGCTGGAGGAGAGGAATGGAATTAGGAGGCAAAAACTTAACTTTTATGAAGCTCAACTCACCCGAAATTCGCTCTGTCAAGTCTGAAGGATGACCAGGAGCAATGTCTAATCCTAGGAGGTACTTAAGCTTCAATTTATTTTCCAGGAGGTAATTTTTCACAGTGGGGCCAAGCACATGGTAAAACCAGTCATAGAAAATGTCCCTGGTGACCCATGCCTTACTGTTTGCCCTCCACATCACACAAATTAGCCTTGACGACATTGTTTTTCCTGAACACTGGGAGTTTCAGTGATACACGAGCAGAGGTTTCACTCTGCAATCCCCACTAGCATTACTACAAAACATTAAAGTAACCCTGTCCTTCATAGGCTTGTGTCCTGGGAGTGCTTTTTCCTCCTGTGTAATGTAGGTACTGTTTGGCATTTTCTTCCAAACCAGGCCTGTTTTGTCACAATTAAACACTTGTTAAGGTTGCAATCCTTCAGCCTCTATGTACCCTTGGAATTCTTGCACATATTTTTCAGCCGCTCTTTTGTCCACACTGGCAGCCTCACCATGCCTTATCATACTGTGTATGCCACTACGATTCTTAAATCTCTCAAACCAACCTTTGCTGGCCTTAAATTCACTCATATTACCACTAGTTGCAGGGATTTTTTTAATTAAATCGTCATGCCACTGCCTTGCCTTTTCACATATGACCGCTTGAGAGATGCTGTCTCCTCATATCTGTTTTTCGTTTATCCACACCAATAACAGTCTCTCAACATCTTCGAGTACTTGTGATCTGTGTTTCGTAAAGATACTTGCACCTTTCGCAACAACAGTTTCCTTAATTACCTTTTTGTTGGCCAGGATAGTAGCGATGGTTGACTGGGGTTTATTGTACAACCTGGCCAGCTCAGAGGCCCGCACTCCACTTTCAAACTTATTATCTCCTTCATTTCCATTGTAATTTTCACTCTTTTTACCACAGGGTTGGCGCTAGAAGCTTTCTTTCGGCCCATGGTGGTTTATTTAGCAGTTACAAGCACTAAAAACACTGGAATAATAAAAAATGTTCCAAATGTGTGCGTGGAAGCGACGGCACTGGTTTGTAAACATTGGCACACTAACTGAAGGCAGGGCAGCTGAGGCGCGCTCAGGCCAGACGGACACCTGGAGGCGTACGGGGACGAATGATGTAAGTCGAGTTTTTCAACTTAGGTCGGGGTCAAATTTTTATGCTGACAAGCATCGTAAGTCGGTTTTATCATAGGTTGAGGCCATCGTAAGTCGGGGGTCCACTGTACTTTATTTATAAGCAATACAAAATACAGCGGTGGTGGTGGTGTAAATTCAGAGTCCATGTTCAAGTTACGTGGAAATTCAGTGACTGTCAGTTTCCAAATGACTAGGGGTTGGGTATGGGGTCAAGAGGCCAGTGCACACTCATGGAGAGAGAAAAAAAAAATGAATTAAGCTTACAGAAAAATAGTTTAATAATCTAGCAACAGTTTGGTGTAAATCTCATGTTTTTATGATGTTTCTACAATGATTTAGAGTCAGTACAACAATTATTGTGATGAGGCCACAGTTAGTATATCTCCATACATGAAGCGAGTTTCCTGCGATTTTTTCTGATTTTGTTTTTTTGAGGGGGGGGGAGGGCAGATCCAAATATTAATACCTTTAACCTCTGGAACTACTTTTTTTAAAATCCATTTTGTTTAAAGAGAGAATAAACATTAATAAGTATAACAATCTGTGTGTGTGTGTGTGTGTGTGTGTGTGTGTGTGTATGATACTCATGCTTTACTACTTTAATGCAACACAGAAAACAAAAATGTCTACACCACCACAAATCTATATAAAGAATTTTTAAAAGTATCTCAAGAAGCCAAGTGTAACAGCAGTATGTGGATAAGAAGCATATAAACACTGTGTACTATAATGTAACAGCATATGTGCATGCACATGCACGAACATGTATGCACATACATTGATGAATGCATGCACACACACGAGTACACATGAGTACATGAACATGCACAATGTTGAGGTGCATGTGCAGTTGTGCACATACAAAGTCTTAATTACCACAGTTTCATTAGGAAAAAATGTAAATATCTGATTTTAGATATGTGAGAACTAATAGTTTTTCCTGAAATTTGGTGACATCTACAGCAGATATATGTATTCAAGACTAATACATTGTTCATGAGTGCCAGAAATAGCATTTGTTTTATGTACATAATTAGTGTAAGATCACGAACAATACACAGGAACATGAAAGATATGTAAATATTGAAAACTTGTGTACTGTGTAGGGTCTCTTGTTCCCCATGTCCAGTACCTTCAACCTTCTATCAACCAGTGATGGCATGTCTAAAACCTTCAACCTTCTATCAACCAGTGATGGCATGTCTAATACCTTCATCATTCCAGTCTAGAGAGAACAAATGACTTAACCCTTCATTTTTGGGACCCCCAAAATAAGTGCTCAGTGTCGGCATATTAAAAACTTTTGAAATGGTAGACAATCCTTTTTCTGAAGTAATGACACTAAAAATACAAAACTTGATAAAAAACTTAATGAATTACACAGGCACAAAGCTAGTGGTGCAGGCGCAACTTACACATCGGCGATTTTGCCCATGTTGAGTCCTATTTTAGAAGTTCCCTTGGAGCCCTACAAGCACTCCAGTACAGTGATACCTTGCATATCTGGTCTGCCATTATCCGAACCTCGACAATATTTGAACAGGCCCTGGGAAAAGGGCAAAATTCTAAAATTATTACTGAAACATCCGAACAGCCGTTCGGATACGGCAGAAGGCTGAATCAAACTTGGCACGCACTTTAGTGTACCAGTTGGCCATTAAGAGCTGCACACTTTGCCTTCCTTTTAGCATTATTACAGCTGTGTTTTGTTCTAGGTATCTTGTGTATGGCACCAAAGAGGGCCAGGATGTGCTTACTCTAGAAAAAAAGAGAGGGAAATAGTCGCACGTGGATGCAGGCTGGTCCAAGACTGGAGAAAAAACTACAGAAGGTGATGTGCAGGACTGACTAGAGTGTGACGAAGACGACTGTTTTGGTCGTATATATACGTCTTACGAGCCAATGCATTTGACGTATATGTACTCAAAAATTCTAGTGGCTTCAAATCAAGCAGGAGAAAGCTGGTAGGCCCCCATGTGAGAGAATGGGTCCGTGTGGTCAGTGTGCACTGTATAAAAAAATCGTGCAATGTATAATGAGAAAAAAAAACTCCGACTGTGTTTTTGGATTGAAGCGCTGACTTTGAGGTGTATTTTCTTATAGATTTTATGGTTATATTCTCGTTTCCGTAGTCACATTTGATAGAATCGGTAACACATTAAAGAAATAGAGGTGATTTTGATTGGTTTTACTATGAAATGTTTGATTTTTGCTGATGTTCAAGAGTAAACAAATGATGTCATTGTCCAATAAATGTCCAACTAGCCATTCTAATATGCAGTCATGAATGGGTTGACATTATTTATACAATTATTACAATATTGCAGTAGTCTGCATAACAGTAAATCTTCTAATTTTTTGTTTGAATAAAAATTCAAAATAGAAAGCAAGAGTAATATCAGAGGGGCCTGGAGACATGATTGATGAACAAAGAAAATTTCATTCTAGAGCCAGGAATGTCTGAACTGTTCATTCTGGACCCTATTTTGAAATTGGCATATTTTTTAATTTGCATGAAATTGGCCAAATTGCCAATTTCTGACCACTTTATTGGGTAGTTGAAATCGGTAAATGGACAGTTTCTTGTACTCATTAGATAGAACAAATGGAGTTCTAAAGAAATAGTTATGAGTTTGGTTGACTGGAACAATGGAATTAGCCGAAAATAGGGCTCAAAGCGGGCAAAATCGCTGATTTGTAAATATCACCGAGGTCGCTAACTTCACAAGAGCGTAATTTCATAAGTTTTCCATCAAATTTCTTACTTCTGGTGTCTTTACCACCAGGAAAAGATTCTCTATAATTTCACGAGAATTTTTTTTTTTTCAAATATTTTGCAACACCAGGAGACACCTCAGGATTTGGGGTTGTGACAGTCAAAGGGTTAAACCTACAATGTTGTCGCCAATGGCAATATGACGGGGTACGGATGGCGATATGACAGTACTGAAGCGCATTTTTTTCCCCCCTTCACGTATCTGGAAACTCCGTTTCTGAACTGGTCTCGGACCATACATGTAGTTCGGGTATGAGAAGTATCACTGTAATTACAAAAGCCACCATAAAAGCAAACAGTTGAAGGAAAAACAGTTCAAGTATGTTGCACAGTAGCTGTATGCCATAGAATCTGTGTGAAATTTTGAATATCCTCAAGGCTTTCCATCTTCATTGATTGTCATTTACAGTAATTTCTTCAATATTTACTAAAGGGTACCTCCTACCATATCCTACTGAAGCAGTCCATCACTGGTTGTGAACAAATGCTTTTTTTTTTTTCCATCACTTCTCCAGATTACAACTGTAAACTCTTGAGTCCTGGGTTGGGAAGCACAGTACATGCAATGAAGAATGTATGGGGATATTACAATTCCAAGTATAATTTGAATTATAATATACATGTACTTATGGCTAGACAATTGGATGAATGATGGAGACTGTTTCCTCTGAGTCACCTTACCTTGTGGGAGATAACCAAAATGATTAAACATAATTCACATCAATTATTGTAATACTTTACACCGTCTCTTCTGCTGCTGTTGTACAATATACAGTACAACTATGTACTTACCTCTAAACTTAAGTCTTTCTAAACCATTAGTTACTCTCTTGAGACTAAGATTGAAGCGGAATAGCATGTTGAACTTCTTCATAATGGCTTCAGTAAGCAACAGGTTTGCTGGCCATGGTGCCTGGAATACAAATTTAATAGTGTATAAATAAGACAATATTCAATCAGCATACAGTGGTCCCTCGATAATAGTTGGGCTCGATAGTCGTCCTTTTCGGAAATCGTCGCGTTATTTTAGTCCAAACATTGGCTCGCAAATGGTCGGTTGACTCGCTAATCGTCCTTCATCCTGGACGCGTGCTCACGGCTCTGAGCCGCCTCGGCCTCTCTTCCCAGCCAGTGTGCCATTGTTTACCAGTGAGTGACAGTCCCCTCATGTGTTCATACGAAATATTTCATAATATTCCATTCATTTTAGTGCTTGCAAGTGCTAAATAAGCTACCATGGCTCCAAAGAAAGCTCCTAGTGCCAAGCCTTTGGTAAAGAAGGTGAGAAATACGATTGAATTTAAGAAAAACATTGTTGAACAATATGAAAGTGGCGCACGTGTGGCCGGACTGGCGAGGATGTATAACAAATCCCGTACAACCATATCTTCCAGCGTGGCCAAGAAAAAGGAAATCAAGGAAGCTGTTGTTGCAAAGGGGATAAATTATTATCAATTATCATCAACACACTGGCCGATTCCCACCAAGGCAGGGTGGCCCGAAAAAGAAAAAATTTCACGATCATTCACTCCATCACTGTCTTGCCAGAAGGGTGCTTTACACTACAGTTTTTAAACTGTAACATTAACACCCCTCCTTCAGAGTGCAGGCACTGTACAGTGGACCCCCGGTTTACGATATTACGTATTTCATTCCAGAAGTATGTTCAGGTGCCAGTACTGAACAAATTTGATCCCATAAGGAATACTGTGAATTAGATTAGTCCATTTCAGACCCCAAACATACACGTACAAATGCACTTACATAATTGGTTGCATTGGGAGCTGATCGTAAACCGGGGGTCCACTGTACTTCCCATCTCCAGGACTCAAGTCCGGCCTGCCGGTTTCCCTGAATCCCTTCATAAATGTTACTTTGCTCACACTCCAACAGCACGTCAAGTATTAAAAACCATTTGTCTCCATTCACTATCAAACACGCTCACGCATGCCTGCTGGAAGTCCAAGCCTCTCGCACACAAAACCTCCTTTACCCCCTCCCTCCAACCTTTCCTAGGCCGACCCCTACCCCGCCTTCTTTCCACTACAGACTGATACACTCTTGAAGTCATTCTGTTTCGCTCCATTCTCTCTACATGTCCGAACCACCTCAACAACCCTTCCTCAGCCCTCTGGACAACAGTTTTGGTAATCCCGCACCTCCTCCTAACTTCCAAACTACGAATTCTCTGCATTATATAACAAAATGAGACAAAAATGAGATCAACAGTACTCGAAGAGGTCGAGATGTTATTATTGGTGTGGATAAACGAGAAACAATTAGCAAGAGATTGTTTGTGAAAAAGCTAGGCAGTTGCATGACGATCTGGTAAAGAAATTGCCTGCAACGAGTACTGATATTTGTGAATTTAAGGCCAGCAAAGGTTGGTTTGAGAGATTTAAGAACCGTAGTGGCATACACAGTGTGATAAGGCATGGTGAGGCTGCCAGTTCAGACAAAATTGCAGCTACAAAATTCATAAGTGAATTCAAGGAGTACATAGAGGCTGAAGGACTGAAACCTGAATAAGTGTTCAATTGTGACGAAACAGGCCTCTTTTGGAAGAAAATGCCAAAGAGGACCTACATTACTCAGGAGGAAAAGGGACTGCCAGGACACAAGCCTATGAAAGACAGGCTGATGCTCATGTTTTGTGCTAATGCTAGTGGGGATTTCAAAGCGAAGCTGTTACTAGTGTACCATTCTGAAAATCCCAGTGTTAAAAAAAAAAAAAATGTTATGAAGAGTAAATTGTGTGTGTTTTGGAGATCTAATAATAAGGCATGGGTCACAAGGGAAATTTTCGTCGAGTGGTTCAATGAAGTGTTTGGCCCTAGTGTGAAGAATTACCTCCTGGAAAAGAAATTGGATCTCAAGTGCCTCCTAGTAATGGACAATGCACCTGCTCATCCTCCAAACTTGGATGACCTAATTCTGCAGGAGTTTGGGTTCATCACAGTAAAGTTCTTGCCCCCGAATACCACTCCTCTCCTCTAGCCCATGGACCAGCAGGTCATTTCAAACTTAAAAAAACTCTACACCAAAGTAATGTTTCAAAGGTGCTTTAATGTGACCTCAGACACTCACTTGACCTTAAGAGAATTTTGGAAAGAACACTTCAGTATCCTCCATTGCACAAGCCTTATAGGTAAGGCTTGGGAGGGAGTGACTACCAGGACTTTGAACTCTGCTTGGAGAAAATTGTGGCCAGATTGTGTCCACAAGAGGGATTTTGAAGGGTTTATGGCTGACCCTGATGAGCCTATGTCAGTTGTGAACTCTATTGTGGCATTGGGAGTTCCATGGGGTTGGATGTGAGTTTGGACAACGTGGAAGAGTTGGTGGAGGACCACAATGAAGAGCTAACCACTGAGGAGCTGCAAGAGCTTCAGCAGGAACAGCAACAGATCGCAGCTCAGAATCTTGCTGCAGAGGAGGAGGAAGAGAGATGGAAGAAGGTGCCTTCTTCAGAAATTAGGGAGATTTTTGAAATGTGTGGTAGGATGGAAAGATTTATGGAGAAACATCACCCTAAGAAGGATGTTGCAAGCCATATCGGCAACTTGTACAGTGACAGAGTCTTGGCCCATTTTAGGGAAGTTTTAAAGAGACGCCATTAACAGAGCTCTCTGGACACTTTTCTTGCGAGACAGGACTCCAGTGACTCTCAAGCTGGTCCATGTGGCATTAAGAAACAGAGAAGAGAAATAACCCCAGAAAAGGACTTGGTACCTAAGGTGTTGATGGAAGGGGATTCCCCTTCCAAACAGAAACTAATCTAATCTCTCTCCTCCTCCAGTCTTCCATACACTAAGAAGAATCGCCAATAAAGGTAAGTGTTATGCTGTTAAGGTAAGTGTTATGCTGTTAATGTTTCATTCATCATGTCCCAATGTATTGTTTATGTAGTACATCTATATTTCATGTAAAAAAATTTTTTGTTTTAATACTTCTGGGTGTCAGGAATGGATTAATTGTATTTACATTATTTCTTATGGGGAAAATCGATTCGAAAATCGTCTTTTTCGATAATCGTCGCACTTCCAGGAACGAATTAACAACGATAAACGTGGGACCACTGTATTATACCATTGTAAAAACCTTAACAGAGTACATGTATGGAGGTTCAAGAACACAAACTCTTATATAAAAGTAATGACAGGAGTAACCCAAAATTACTATTATTTTTTTAATGCACCAGCTGCATCCCACTGAGGCAGGGTGACTTAAAAAGAAAAACACGTTTTTCTTTTTAAATTTAGTAATTTATACAGAAGGGGTTACTAGCCCCTTGCTGCTGGCATTTTTCTTTATTTTTTTTTATTAACACACTGGCCGATTCCCACCAAGGTAGGGTGGCCCGAAAAAGAAAAACTTTCACCATCATTAACTCCATCACTGTCTTGCCAGAAGGGTGCTTTACACTACAGTTTTTAAACTGCAACATTAACACCCCTCCTTCAGAGTTCAGGCACTGTACTTCCCATCTCCAGGACTCAAGTCCGGCCTGCCGATTTCCCTAAATCCCTTCATAAATGTTACTTTGCTCACACTCCAACAGCACGTCAAGTATTAAAAACCATTCATCTCCATTCACTCCTATCAAACACGCTCACGTATGCCCACTGGAAGTCCAAGCCCCTCGCACACAAAACCTCCTTTACCCCCTCCCTCCAACCTTTCCTAGGCCGACCCCTAAACTTTTGAAGTCATTCTGTTTCGCTCCATTCTCTCTACATGTCCAAACCACCTCAACAACCCTTCCTCAGCCCTCTGGACAACAGTTTTGGCAATCCCGCACCTCCTCCTAACTTCCAAACTACGAATTCTCTGCATTATATTCACACCACACATTGCCCTCAGACATGACATCTCCACTGCCTCCAGCCTTCTCCTCGCTGCAACATTCATCACCCATGCTTCACACCCATATAAGAGCATTGTAAAACTATACTCTCATACATTGCCCTCTTTGCCTTGAAAGGACAAAGTTCTTTTTCTCCACAGACTCCTAAGTGCACCGCTCACCCTTTTCCCCTCATCAATTCTATGATTCACCTCATCTTTCATAGACCCATCTGCTGACACGTCCACTCCCAAATATCTGAATACATTCACCTCCTCCATACTCTCTCCCTCCAATCTGATATCCAATCTTTCATCACCTAATCTTTTTTGTTATCCTCATGACCTTACTCTTTCCTGTATTCACTTTTAATTTTCTTCTTTTACATACCCTACCAAACTCATCCACCAACATCTGCAACTTCTCTTCAGAATCTCCCAAGAGCACAGTGTCATCAGCAAAGAGCAACTGTGACAACTCCCACTTTGTGTGTGATTCTTTATCTTTTAACTCCACGCCTCTTGCCAAGACCCTCGCATTTACTTCTCTTACAACCCCATCTATAAATATATTAAACAACCACGGTGACATCACACATCCTTGTCTAAGGCCTACTTTTACTGGGAAATAATTTCCCTCTTTCCTACATACTCTAACTTGAGCCTCACGATCCTCGTAAAAACTCTTCACTGCTTTCAGTAACCTACCTCCTACACCATACACCTGCAACATCTGCCACATTGCCCCCCTATCCACCCTGTCATATGCCTTTTCCAAATCCATAAATGCCACAAAGACCTCTTTAGCCTTATCTAAATACTGTTCACTTATATGTTTCACTGTAAACACCTGGTCCACACACCCCCTACCTTTCCTAAAGCCTCCTTGTTCATCTGCTATCCTATTCTCCGTCTTACTCTTAATTCTTTCAATAATAACTCTACCATACACTTTGCCAGGTATACTCAACAGACTTATCCCCCTGTAATTTTTGCTCTCTCTTTTATCCCCTTTGCCTTTATACAAAGGAACTATGCATGCTTTCTGCCAATCCCTTTAGGGAAGTC